TTGTTATCTTCACCTGAGGCAGCCTTCCCTGGGCTGCAAAGCTTTGTAAAGCTGATACATGGCAGCATTAGCTGTGGGAGCTTCTCCTTTAGCAATCAAGGCTGAATCCTGCCCCAGAGGAGATAAACCCGATCTACTTTGTCCTGCGTGCTTTGTCCCCCACTGAGCTCGGGGGTCTGGGTAGGCACCTGCATGATGCTGTGAGTTGGGATGCTCAGAGCTGTGTGGAGTCATCGTCTTTAGGACTCCTGTCTTCAGGAGGGAGCTGTTACAGCTGCAGCCCACTGTCAGGCAGGTTAAAAACCACCATGCCTCTTCTCTTGCACTGTCTACAAGCCTGCAAAGCCTGGACGTGGGACTGGACAGAGGCTGTGGCCAAAGGGAGAATAACGGGTTTCTTTTTATAGCATGGTCTAGTCTGCCCTTGACATTGAGAGCCTCTCTGTCTTCAGGATGTCCTGCCAACAGGGCAGAGGCAGGTGGTTTGTAGAGTGGCTGCTGGGGAGTTGGGGGCAAAGCTCCTCCTGACACAGGGAGGTTTCGTGCTTGACAGCAAGGGAAGGGGCCTTCACATCAGAGCCTGTCACTTGTCACACTGGGAAGAAAGTGTCATGTGTGATTTCCAAGAAAACAGCATTTGGCTATGACATCCCTCTTCAAGTGAGGCAGAGTTCGTAGGGCCGGGAAGGGAAATATCTTCATTAGGTCAGCTGATGTTGTGGGAAAAGCAGATTAGTTTTCATGCACAAGAGCCCTTCCAGGAGTTTGGAAGAGGCTCCGTATTCGTGCTTCGTGCAATTGCCTGGGTCTGGCCGAGGTTCCCTGGAGGGGACTAACCTATGCAATCCCGCCTGTAGGCTGTGAAGAGACTGCACTTGGACAGAGCGTAAGAGTTTAAGGCTTGTTTCCTGGGGCCTTTCTAGTGTTAGCACATAAGGCAAGCAGGGCCATTTCTACACATGGGGGGTCTGACTTGGAGGGGGGTCAGTTATCTTCAGCCACAGTGAACTGAGGCTCTTTGCCCATTCTGCAATGTAAAATACAGTGCCAGATCATAGAGCATGGAGTTGGGTTTTTTTCCCCCCCCGGGTAATTCTCTGCTTGTAGCTTTTCCAGTGGTTTAAAGACAAGATTTCCCTTGAGGTTTTCTCTGTAGCCGTGTTGGTGCACGTCCCTGCCCAGTTCTCAAGCCTAATTCTTAGCTTCTTTTTTTCCCTTCAGCTCATGGTGGTCCCATGTGGAGATGGGTCCCCCTGACCCCATCCTGGGGGTGACAGAAGCTTTCAAGCGTGACACCAACTCCAAGAAGATGAACCTGGGTGTGGGGGCATACCGGGATGACAATGGGAAGCCATATGTCCTGAACTGTGTCCGCAAGGTGAGCCTGGTGCTGGCTGCTGGGCAGAGCCAGATCCAGGTGTCAGGTGCCCTGGGGTGGGTCAGGGAGGGGGAAGGCCTATAGGTAGGCAAGGTTCGCCTGTTGGTCCTTAGAGTAAGCTTTGTCTCTAACAGAGCAAGACAGTGTTCCTGGATGTCTTCCTTAGCAGTACTGATGCTTTTGAGATGCAACAGAGCTGGTTGTTAAGTAGCAGGGGATAAAACAGGGAATATGTGTCCTATTCCCATGCGGGTAAATCTAATTCATTGCTGACTTCCACAAGCCCTCCAACCCACCTGTCCTCTGAACTTCAAGGTGTTTCTTGAATAGTCTGATGTTCCCTGGGCCAGCTCACATGGGAGGAAAGAGCTGACATTGTTCCCTTAATGGATTAGTCTTAAAAATTCTGCTGAGCCTTTGTTACCAGTTTCTCCATAAGCCAGCCTAAAACTCTCAGGGAGCTGGATGTGGGCACTGCCCTTGAGGGGATTATGGAGCCTTTCAGGGCTCAGTGTAGAAATAAGCTGTTAAATAGCTGGCAGCTGACACACATATTGACTGGTTGGTCTCCTTGGCACAGGGAGGATGTGTTGTCCATGTTTCTCATCAGTGTGGTGTTTAAAGCCATCCCTTGCCGTTGCACTGCCTGTGTCAGCACATATTGCAGCTGGGTCACAACCAGGGAGACTGGGTGGTGTCGCAGGAACAGTTTCCTGGTGGTATGTGAATGCTGCCAGAGTCTGTCCCGCTCTGGGAGCAAGGATAGGGTTCGCAGAGTGCTCCAGATATCTCCATCACTGCGTTTTTCCTGAGCATGGCTCCTTGTCTGCTGTTCTTGCATCCACTCTCTGATTCTGTGTTAAGTAGGGACTTTAGGACTGCTTTCTGCTGCAGGATCTGTTTGAAAGAAATAGAGATTAGCAAAGCTGGGGGGAACCATGTTTAAGGGTTGGGTGAGCTAGCTTTCAGACAGGCTGCTTTCAAAATTGGCTGGGATTTTTTTTTTTTTTTTTAACCTGCTCCATCTAGTTCAATAACTCTTCCAGCATGACAAGGCCTTACAAAGAGCTTGCTACCCTACCTGGTTTTGGGATGTCCCCCTATGTGGAGCCAATCTCTGCCTTTCAGTAACAGTCAAGTCTTGCCTTCCTGCAGGACA